TTTTAGAGAAGTGTTAAAAGTTTTTTATTCCCCCAACCCCCACAAAAAGCATAGGCTTTTCACATTTACATGTTTTTTGTGTTTGGTAGGTTCTGCAGGCTGTCATCACTAATTATTGTCTACATACTCTAAGTTCCTGAACAGCCACCATTACCATTTTGATAGACTTCTGTTATATCTCAAATTTACATTATGTTTCTTCTCCAGGAATAGTCAACTATGTAAACCTTGAAGGTAGAAGATAATTTTTTGTGCCTTTAGCACTAAGTCTGCTGCATACAGTGGGGTTCTCAATAAATGATAAGCATCATGATAACTGCAAAGTGACAGATAAAAAAGCAGTACCTTATACGATGTAGGAAGCTTAGCGTTCTTAGAAAAGCTATTTTAAGATGAATGTGAACCATAGAAGTTAGAGGGTTTACTGTGCAGCTACTTTGGCTAGTTAAGAGTAATGAAAATTTTAAGATTGACTGTCTTGTAGATGGCAATGTAATGCAAGCAGTAAAATGGCTAAGTAGTAGTCTGACAAGTTTGGAGTATTTTCAATATTCAGCAATCATGTTAGGTATAACTTCTTCCCAAAACCAAAGAATGCATAGGACATAGGTTAAAAATTCATACATATCTTGACTTAAAATCCAGTTCTACCACTATCTCAAAACATCAGTTTATTGCTCATCAATGGGTTTTAATGAAGTACCTAGCATAGGGTATTACTTAAACGTTAGTACTCCCAATCCTGACACTAAGGTTTCAGGGAAGAGTGAAAGAAAACCCATTAACTCCACATTATTGAACATCTTGTGTCAGGTTGAATACATCTTTGTATCCATTGATCCATTGTCTTCCAATTGTTTAAAGACAAGTGTGGAGGCCTGACATGTAAATCAGTGGTTACGTAAGATAGTACTGTCTTGTAATGCATTGTGCCACAGGGGTAAGTATTAAACATCATAGGAGCTCAGAGGAGAGGCACCTACTGGCTGCTGGGAGAAGAGCAAAAGCCTATATGTAAAACAACTTTTTTTTTTTAATGATTTCGGTTCTATAAGGGATAGAAGTATCCAGTTACTGTACTCCCAAAGTCCCATTAAGTTCTGTAACAGATGTCAGAATCGGGAAAGCTCACACATGCAATAAGGCAAAGAAAAAGTTCATTATTCTCACTCTTTCAGGAATCTACTTGAAAATGGATCGGTTTATGTTGGATTAAATGCTGCTCTCTGTGGCCTCATAGGAAACAGTCTTTTTCGACGTGTCTTGAATGTGACAAAGGCTCGTATAGTTTCTGCCTTACCAATGGCAGTGATCCCTTTCTTTACAACACAAGTAACTTACAGAGGTTTTGTAACTATTCCTTTGACAACAGGTAAATTCTAGTTTACTAGCACCAAAAAGTTTGCCTTAGTCATACTTATTAAGTACTTGTATGCTATAATGTAGTGTTTAAATAAGATTAAATCTTGCTAGCCTCTCTATGTAATGTGGCAAATAATTCCTATTAGCATGGTCTACCAACCAAGATGCACCAACAAAGCAGTTCTAAGCTTTTTTTTTAATTGAGACAGAATTTTGTTCTTACTGCCTGGAGGCTGGGCTGGAGTGCCCTGGATCTGGGCCACTGCAACCTCCGCCTCCTGGGTTCAGGTGATTCTCCTGTGTCAGCCTCCCAGGTAGCTGGGATTACAGGTGCCCGCCACAACTGCTGGCTAACTTTTTGTGTTTTTAGTAGAGACAGGGTTTCACCATGTTGGCCAGGCTGGTCTCAAACTCCTGACCTCAGGTGATCCACCTGCCTCAGCCTTCCAAAGTGCTGGGATCACAGGTGTGAGCCACTGCACCCAGCAATACTTTCCTTAACATATCTTTCTGACAGTGCTCATTTGGAGTAAGAAATATTTGGAAATCCATATATGAAAATTATATATATATAAAGTGTTGGCTACCTTAGATTTTTTTTAATTTACATTTTATAGAGCAGTTCCTTAAAGGGAAAAATATTTTTTGGAGAATCAGACTATATAGTAAATCCCTTAAAGCACTAAATGCATATACAATGTTTATCAAATGCATGGAGATTTGATTTCCTTTTGAAAATTTACCATGTGTGCTGAATGCTTTGAGTATAGTTAATCACAAAAAATCTTTTGATTAATGATTTCAAATAAAAGTATTACCATGGGTGCTAGGGAAGGCAGTCCATCTAAATTTTACTTTTTGTAAGTGCTGCTCCAAATTTGTTTAAATTGTATGAGTGTTTTAATTCCCATGATCAGTGGAAAGAATGTCCATGACCAAGGGGGACCTACTGCCCATTGAATTGAACAGATGAGTGAAAATATTAGCCCGAGTCTGCTGATACAAAACAAGTGCAGAAAGTTAGGACCAGCCCAAACCATGAGATTATATCTAAGTTCAGAACAAATTAGATAATTTTTTTTCCTAAGATAGTTTCATCAATCATTCCTAGCTATTTTAAGTTACTCATAGAGGTAATTATACCTTTTAACATGCTTTGTAGAACTGCATTTGGTATGTTGGCTGAAAAACGTCTGTGATACATAGAAGAGGATCTTATATTCTTTAAATCATATTTGCTGTACTATCATGACCTTCATTTCCAGAACTAATTTATTTCCTAGGTGATTTGATTTGCGAAACCTGTACCGCAACACGTAGTGGACTGGTTGGTCTTCTTGTTGGTGGTCTATACCCTGTTTTCTTAGCTTTACCTATAAATGGTAGCCTAGCAGCCAGGTAAGATTGTTTTTTTTATAATATGTGGTTACCTATAAAAGTCACAACTTAAAGCAGCAAATATATTTTCTGTTTTTAAGGCATTTAGGCCAAAGGCAGTGTTACCCTCTTAATTAGAAGTTAGCAAGACATGTTTTTTCTTATAATCAAATTTTACTTCTCAAGAATTTCAAACAGTTCTACCTGGTGTGTAGTTCAGGCTATTAGCCTTAATTTGTGTACTAAATACTAAACTAACTACAAAGCTGCAAACAGCTTTGAAACCTATATCATACAAACAATTTTCTTGGATGAGTTTGATGAACACTTGCAATAAAGGAAAATTCCATCAGAAAATGTCTAGTTGTCATATTAGTAGTCTTCTACTCTAAAATAATTCTGGTTATTCTCTGTTGAAGTCTTGCATCAGCGATTTACGATACAGCCTTGAAGCAAAGTACATAAAGAAACAAAAGAAAAGTTTTTGGCATTAATAGACACTGAAGACTTTTACCTTAATCTCTAGTTTTATCCTAAGACTTCCAGGACTCATATATATCATAGATAAGTTTGCCACTTGATACAACAATCTTATATAACTATCTCACTGTTTTCTTACAGGTATGAAACAGCTCTGTTGCCAAACAAAGAGAACATCTTAAGTTACTGGCTTAGAGTTTCTAAGCCTGTCTTTAGAAAGATGTTTTTTCCTATTCTACTGCAGACTGTGTTTTCAGCATACCTTGGGTCTAAACAATATAAACTATTTATAAAGGCCCTTCACTTACCTGAACCTGGCCAAGAAATTCACTGACTTTATAAACAAATATGTACACAAAAATAAAACAGTGAAAACAGTTTATGTATAATGTTATTCATCAACATATAATTTTGGAACCTACAACAAAGGCTACACAAGGCAACAAAAGTGTAAATCTAAATAAAAGCTACCCACTTAAACAAGTTTAACTTTACTAGTCTGCCCAATATTTTCTCTTCTACCTTGCTTGCCCTACTCTTATCTTAGGCATCGAGTCTGGTAACACAAGAAAAAAAAACTATATAGTGTTTTACACTGAAGACTTCATAATGCCAAAAAGGAATAAAAATGAAAAAAAATAAATAAATACACTATACCAAATGTTACTTTTAAGTCACTTTCTCAATTCAAATTATTATTAATCCATAAATTCTTAGAACTGATTTAACAACCTTCCTCACAGGATTAATCATCTTCTTGAGTCATTCAGGCTCAGCTTCAGCTATTATGATATAGACCTAGCTATTTAGAGTCACCTTATTTGGAAAGCTTTATTTTTACTTTAGGTAGTCTTTCAAGCGTCCACTTATTTAGAATCACAAAATTAATCTCTCTGACCCTCAGTGAAATACCCTAGTTGATTCATTTCCTAAGATCATTTAAATTTTTTTGTGCTTTCTTCTGTTCTCCTAACGTCTCTCATACTAGTTCTCTAAACTATTTTCTTTTGTGACAGCAACTGAATCAGCATTGTCCAACAAAGCTTTCTGTGATGATGGAAATATTTTATATCTGCACTGTATGTTAGCCACTAGCCTATGTACTTGCTGGGCACCTCAAATGTGGCTAGTGCAACTGAATAACTGAGTTTTTAACTTTAATCCATTATAAATTTTCAGCCATGTGACTAATGGTTACAGTATTGGACACCATAGATCTAAATTTCTTATGAAGCAAGCTAATCATCACAGAAAAGTTCCAAACAAAATTTTAAGTGGCATCCAAGATTATTCATGAAGCTCTTAACTATTATTTGCAAATAGTGGCAGACCTGTTAAGTAATCTTAGGCTACTTAAAATTACATGTAACAATTTAGAAAAGGCATCTTTGTGAGTGAAACAGGCCCTTAGCTTCTGTTTAAAGAAAAATATAAAGCAGTGCTGCAACAGATGAAAAACTCAAGTGAAATTAACAAAATACAGTCTTTTTCAGAAAGCAAAGATGAATTTTTCTTTCAACAGGCACATAAAATGTATTATCTACCAAACTTAATTATATAAGAAATGATCTCAATTATGAGGCAGAAGAATCTATATGCACAAGAGAGACTGAAAGGAAGCATCCCAAAATGTTTACTGTGGATATTCTATGGCTTATAGAGTTATAGGGTAATTTTTCTTTTCTTCTTGATTTCTTTCTGGATATTCTCAGTTTTCTATAAAGAATATGCTTTGCTTTCACAACTAGGGAAAGAAAGAAAGATATATAGATATATAACAATTAAAGGGCAAAACAATATAGCTGTTGATTTTACAAGCTAAAATATCAAGATGAAAAGCTCCAACTCCAAATCATCCATACCTATATTCTGTCACTTGAAGGCAGAGTTCTACTCATCACAGTGAAAAAACAATGAATTAAAAGTAACTTCTGATGTTAACCCAACTATAGAGTTAGACTCCTTAATACAGAATGGTGTAATCAACTTGGGTAATTCAAAGCCCAATGATATAACTTAAGTTCTTTGATAACTGAGCACAGTTTCCTTCCTTATCCTTAAACATACCTAGCCTAATTACTCCCTAGCATAATACCATTTATAAATGAGGATGAGTTTACAATGGTTTCTGTACCCAAAAAGTATTTCTAATCTCTGTCGTCTGCCACATATTTTTAAATTATCGATTCAATTAGTAGAAATGGGCGACATAAACAATAAAGCATGTTAAGTCTGTTGTTACAAATTTACTTCGCCAAAATTTTTGTCTTGAGGCCAGGTTATCTGCACTATTTAAGGGCATTTTTAGTCATTTGTAGCTAACACCTGAAGTAGACTACCCTCAATCAATTTTTAATATTTCAGTCCAGTCCCACTAAACAAACTATTTAAACCTTTTATTATTTACTTGTGTAGTTATTTGGCTTAAAAAAAAAAAAGAGGGCTCACATTAAATTAATACATTAATATATTTTATAAAGCCCAAACTATAGTACACCAAGAGCCAGAGGGGTCTAGGAAACTGACCTCAGTGAGTAAACAGCAAAGACAAAATTTGAAGGCAGACATTAAAGGAAGATGAGCTAAATAAAATTCAAATCAGTATGTTAACAGAACTACACAAATATTTAAAACAGTAACTATACTTTTCAATTAGTTCACTGTGAAAACTAAGCAAAATATCTTCAACAATTTTGAGTCAATAAAAATTATAGGGTATTATAAGACAATAAAGAGTGACTGGTGTTGAGTGATTACTGAGGCTACACATAAAGGTACTGACATTCAAATCTGAAAACTACTGTGCTGGCCAAACAACACTACAAATTTCTAATGGAAGAATTCCCCTGTTTTTGATCCCCAGCTTTGATGGTAAATAAATTTAAAAAACAGCAAAAAAGTTAAACATTGAGGAGAGTCTTAAAACTGTACTGGCTGAGAGTCTGGGAGAAAAAAGCACTTAGATGTCATACTACCAAGTAAACTTTCAAGAGTCTTCAGATTATTTAGCTTTAAAATGTTACTAAATCAGTGAGACCTTAACTACACATTCAAAATGCTGAACTAGGAATCAGATATTAAAAAGATAATTACCCAGTCTGTTCTATCAAAGCAATAGTTAAGGTCACCAAATAATGTTGGTGCCTTTGGTTCTGGAATTATAAACAGCTGTACTGTAAGTAACATCAGCACTTAAGTTTTAATTAAGACAGTGGGAATACTTCTTGTTGCCTGGCTTCACAGGCAATGAACACGCTTAAAGTTATAAGAAACTGACTGGTTTTAGTAAGTTTTGAATAATATAATAACCAGCTGTTTATTATGAAGAGCCTGTCTCCTACCCAAATCCCTCTTCTATCATCTGCACGTTTCCCAAATGAGTAAGGTAAAATGACTCAATCTAAACCAGATGAAGTAATGTATTAATCCAACAAAAATGAAATAAAACAATCCAGAGTTTTGAGTGTTTTTTCACACTTGTAATAAACTGAAAAAATATTTCAATTAAGTAAAACCATATGCCATGAAAAAGCCACTCCCATCATCCAGAATACTAAAGCCCTTATACAACACTAGATAAAAGTTTTATATAAAACAGTAGAAACTGGTATACCATTAATTAGAAACCTCAAAATATTCAAAAAACAGTGTTGAGTACTTAAGAGAAAGCTCAAGAAGCCAAAACCTCAGAATCTATACATCCTGGTTGTTAACCTAAATTGCAATTAACTATCCACACATTTAATAATAATCAACTTTTTCAAAGATATACAAATCAATGCAGCTATTTAAAAGGACTACTCTTATAGTTCAGAACTTTACATTAACTTTCATATTCTACTAAGCAGGGTGTCTACTCCAAATTAGCTCTCATGTTCAGGAAATAAATACAAACTCACAGGCCTTGTGATCACTGATGGCCTGCTAATGTGATTCTAGTCCACTAAATGTAATTCCATAGAATGTGCTCTTGATTATGTAAAAACTCTAATTAATTTCTTGATGAAATACTGTAATTCCCCCAACAGTTACAATGTTTTAAAGATATGCAAAGAACTGAGTATCACTCCCATGAAAGACAAAAAAAGTGTAATTTTGTTCCAAGATTAACTTAGTCTCATGAATCTCTATTAAGTCTTTCAAGGATTCCAGAGAATCTTTTCATATCTCCATTTCTGGAAAGTGAAATCAGTATAGAAGTAATTTGGAAACTTGAAAATGGCATTCATTTTTTTCAGCAGATGCCAAATTTTTGACCGACATGGCTCTCACAATTACTTTGTTACCATCAGTCCAGTCAGTTAACAGGTTGTAGGAAAAGATTCGTTTTTGCAGACACTGCTAAGCTGTTTAAAGAGAAGAGAAAGAGATTAATTTAGTGATTATAAAATGCACAAATATTTAAAATATTTCGAACACTTTTTGTTGGATTATATCAGAGGTGAGACTACATTTTAACACAAGCGGACTTTTAAAGATAATTCTGGTCAAGGAAGTGCAGAAACAGTAAGTCAATATGATAGAAACAGTAGGTCAAAATATGATGTGTTAGTTCAATTAATGTATGAATTCCTGCCACCATCAAAGACATACTCAAAAGCTGTATCTTTAGTCTAGTTCTGTATCATTTTACCATAGAGGCACATTTAGAAGACAAAAGGATCACCCAAATACTAAGTTGTTTTCAACCATTACGGTAAATGGAGCCAAACCTAGAAATTTCAAAAACAATCCATTTTATATTCCAGAAATCTCCTTTATCCATGTGCTAACCATCGAGAACACAATTTTCTAAAAATAGTAAGACAACAGTTTCACATTAATCATAACTTTTTTAATTAACAAGTAGTGAATCAGACACTTTAAGATATTGTTTACTACATACTGAAATAAACATCTGTTTAAGTTCAGAAACCCAAACATTTACAGTAAAATGTGCTTACACATAAATATGACCAAATTTATTTAAAGCCCCTATTAGATCCTAAATACATGCAATTACCATGTAAAAACAAGACCATGAAGTTGATGTAAAAAAATGACAAAAATCACTAAGTCACCAAAACTAGGAAAAAAAAAAAAAAAAAAAACCAATGAAATGGAAACTGAGAAAAGACAGTTAATAAAACATAAGGAACCCAACAAAGCAGCTTTAAAAATAGGCCATACTAATCTTTCCATTTTCAAAAGTTCTTAATCAAGTAATTCCAAAAACTGCCATTTATAAAATGACATTCTAAAAATCTACACTTGGAATTTCAAAGCATCTCAATTCAGAAAGCTTTGACTACTTTTTCTCCCCAGCCCACAACTTCAAATAATGCAGGAAAAGTATTGATGTAAAGAAGAATATTCCAAGAGAATGGTATAGTTTTTAGAAAAATGAACTTACTGCTTTCCAGAACCTTTTAAGACCCACAGTCAGCATTAACAACAATCATTTTTCCTATTTTCATCCATTATTTTCCAATGTCATGTTAGAGATGAATAAATTCTTTGAGCCCATAACTAAAAGATCAACAAACCTGGTTTTATTATGACATCATATTTTTGTCATTGGTACTGCACAAAATTATATACAAAGAAATATATACAAAATGTTCAAGTATTAAATTTCAATTCAAGGCTTCTGTTTCAAAAAAGCTACATTTAACATATTTCATAAAGATAGCACAAATTAGTCATTTCAAATAATCTTTCCAACTACTTTTGGTTTATATATATATATATATATATATATATATGTATGTATATATATATATAGAAAAAATTCAGTAGGCACTAAAAATCCATGCAGCTGCATTGTGAGGGGCTTGCTCCTGCCCTTAGATATAAGCAGGTTCATCACTCCAAGTTGTGAGTTTGGCTACTACCCATTCATGCTCAAGTGCAGTAGATGATTTTACAAAATATGCTATGATGCACTGGAAACCAAAGACCAATTTAGGTCTCAAATCGTATTAACTAGCAACAAAACATTTACAGTTGTGCAAGAACAAGGATTCCATTTTCATAACCAATTAACAACAAGACATTTTATGTGTAAGATAACTTACATCTTTGGACTGCTGGAAAACAGTTTTTAATTATGAACATTTTAAAAAGAAAAGACAGCAGAAGCCCTGTTATTACCTCTTTTTCCTCATTTCTTATACTACCTTTTAAAATAAAGCAGGAAATGTGGCCAGCAGCTGGTCCCGTCTCTTCTGCCCCAACAGCTGTATCCACTTTAGCACAAAGAAAAACAAGGATGCTAAATACGTATATACTTTATCAAGCAGTGATGTTTCACAAAGAATTTCTTAATGCCTCTTACACTGAAAGACACCATAACTCAATTTATACAACTGGTTAACAGATTTAAGGAAAGAATAAATCCCACCTTTGGGGAAATAGCGCCAATTGTGTCATTTTGGTGGCCAGAACCACTCAACTTTAAACATTATTTTTAAATAGGACAAATACTTTTGAAATAGAGAATAAGATTCTTTGTGAAGCCTCACTTTACACGTTTTCATTCACATTTCACAACCTTCAATATCTAATCGTACATATATAAATTTAACCTAAAATTTTAATACAACAAAAATAAAGATGTTCAACAAGTTATTCATACTCAGTGATAAGGTAATCACTGCTGGTCCTCAAGGAAACATTAACCATTCTCATTCTCCAATTAACTAAAACACAGAAGTCTGATATGCATGTTAATTCCCAACTTCTTTAATGGTGAGATATTAAAATCTGTTACTCTGAATAGACTTTCTATATCTCCTACTGAAAACTAAAAGGCATTGTTGAATATTTAAGAGATACCTGTCACCTCCATCCAGCAAAATATCACATTTGTGCATGCCCCAAATACCTATTGTCAACCTCTGAAAAGTTGCCCTAAAATAGGAATTCCAATTTGCACCTTGTACAACTCGGAACTTCCATTCAACTTCACCTGTTTCACTGTCTCCAAACTGTATCTCTATAAGCAGCTTTCAGTGTACAGTTGGAATCGATGTCATCCAAGGCCATGTCCACACTGGGGACAGAAGAGCTAGGTACACGCACCTCTGAATAAGGGGACACATTAATAGCTATTTCAACCAGAAGAGGCATCTTAAAATACATTATTGACCAGCACAAGTCTGTTTCCAGGGTGGACAGGGCCCAAATTAGATTTCCCTCCCACCTTCCAAAACAGGAAGAAAAAAAAAAAAAAATCACACACACACACATATTGAGATGTTGCCCATTAAAGTAGACTAAGCAGCAGAGCATGAGCGTTACGTGAAGAGATGGATCCTTACCAGGTTGTGAGGCGGGAACGACTGTTCTGTAACCCCTACAACGGAGCCTGGCAGGAAGGAAATCACCTAAAAAAGAAACTGTCAGAGAGATTTAATAGTCACATGTTATCATTAGGAGTTGGTTACTGTGTCACATTCATGCTTTTAGCTAAACACTTTAAGATTCAATATTACTTTTTTTTTTTCTCCTCTGAAATATCTGTGTCCGGTGAAGATGTCCCACTAAGGTGTTTGACATGGTGTAAGGGAGTTGAAAGGGGTAAACGCGGATAAAGAGCAGATTACTTGACCCTACATTTTAAGAGAAGACGACGCCTTCCGGGCGCACGCCGAGCAGAACTCCACCGACACCTTATCCTTGTCCACATGGAGACACACTCCTCCCGCCGAGTCGTCGTCCTCCAGCAGGTCCTGCTGCTGCTTTCCCACCGGCAGTGCGTAGTCGTGGTCACCGGCGGGCGAGTCTCTGAAGAGCGAGGTGGTCAGCCGCAGTCCCACGCCGCTCAGCCGGCTCAGCAAGCGAGCCAGTCCAGTCTCGTTGGCCAAGACTGCCCGTAGGTAGCGACTCTCCTCCTGCAGCGCCTGTACGCGTTTGCCCAGCTCCCGATTCTCGGCCCGCAGCTCCTGGTTCTCGGCTGCCAGACCCCGGACTCTGCTCTCGAGCCCCATCACGTACTCCTTCTTCTTCAGCCGATTCAGGCGGGCAGCGGCCGCCGCCGCTTTCCGGGGACTCTTTGTCGCCGCCTGGTTGTTGTCGCTGCCGCTGCCGCCGCCGCCGCCGCCGCCCGCTCCGGGGGACTTTCTCCGCCTCTTTTCGGCGCTGCCACTGTCACTGCTGCTGCTGCAGCCTCCGATGCCGTTTAACAGCCTCTGCAGCAGGTCGGAGAAGCGCTGCATTTCAGCGGCAGCGGCCTCGTCGTCGTCGTCCCCTCTCCACAGGCCGCCGCTATCCGAGCCTCCTCCAGACGAGGAGAGGGGCCCCGGCGGGCTAAGCCCGGGCTCCAGGTGCCAGTCCGGTTGCCTGGGGTCCAGGAGATCCGCCAGTTCCAGCCCAGACAGAAAGTCCATATCCTCCGTCTCTTCCCCCGGGAGGCTGGCGATCGCCTCCTCCTCCATCTCCTCGGGCGAGGGCGCGCGCACGGCCACGCCGCCGCGGCTCCCCCTCCCGGCTTCCAACTCGCCCTCGTCGCCAAGCGGCTGCTTGCGGCCGGGAGATCCGGCCGCTGCCGTCTCCTTCTCCCCCGCCGCCGCCGCCGCAGCCCGCGTCAGGTCCGAGGGCAGCGAGCAGGTTGCAGCCGGCGCCGGGCTCTCACTGCGGGTTGGGGAGTTGCTGCCCGAGGCTGCCAGCAGCTTGGTCAGGCTATGCCTCATGAGGCCCGGCGGCGGGCCGCGGTAGGCCCCGGCCACTCAGACTGGGCCTCAAGGGCTCCCAGGATCCCAGGCCCCAGGGCTGGTAGCCTCCGGCACTGGCCAAAACGAAATGGAGGGAAGGTCAGAGTCGCCTCCCGCCTCACTTGGTGGGTCGACCCCCCGCGCCAGGGCGCGGGGAGGGACCGGAGAACCAAGCGGTGAGGCCGAGCGATGACTCGACCGCGCCACCCAGACAACGGCCTGGCCGGAAGTCAGTCGTTTTAGCCTCAGCCCCGCCCCCCACGTTTCGCGCGCCACTAGGCCGTAGTATCGCGAGATTTGGGGGTGCTTTGGAATGGGAGTAATTCCAGCTTTCTGGTGATGTCATAATAACTGGCAAAAATAGCAACAGACTCTAGGTTTATCCACCCTAATTCAATAATACTATTTAAAACCCAGACTCAACAATTCAACACAACATGTTTCCATTTTTGAAAATCTTTCTATAAATGCTTGTAAATTTTTTGATGAATCATCCTAAATCTGCAGATAAGACACCACACCCCTACATACTTAAGTGTGCATCTCTAAAACTAAGGACGTTTTTTCATAATCATGATACTCTTAGCACGTCTTCAGAAAATTAATCGTTTACTAATACTGTTTCATACCTGGGCCATTCTAGATGTCCTCAGTTGGGTGACAGATATGCTAGTTACCCTCACCTGATCACTACATTCCATAAGTATAGAAACATCACCATGTGTGACATGAATGACAATTATTATTTGTCAATGAAAAAAATTAAAACACAAAGCAAAATGAATGTAGAATACAACACTGCTTACAAAAATTGTCTTCAGCTGTTCTTGTCATTTTTTTCTAAGTACATACTTTCTTTTGAGCCAAGAGCCAATCAGTACTCACTGCATTAGGGTAACAAATAAACAAACAAATCTCTGACAACTAGAACCAGGGAAGGACATGAAGAGAGGGTACTCATGCTTGTACGCCTGAAAACAAAGACCGCAAAAACCATAAAGACCATCACAACGTTACACAAAAAAAGCCTCTGCAAGGATGTCTGCCCAGAAACTGTCTGTCCAACCTTCAGCTGACGTCACCCGTTATTGACCTTTGTAGCCAAGATAATTATTTCAAAAGAAGCATGTAATCATCCTCATTTTTTTTTTCCTTTAAAACCCATTGTCTTCCTTTGCCTTCCTGAATATGCACATAGTTTACTAAGGCACTTGTTTTCCCATTGAAATGCTCTAGACTCAAAACTTAACTTTTATTTTAGAGACTTTTCTGTTTGTTACTTAGGTTCACAACCCACAAGGGATTTGAGATTTGAAGCAGTTTATAAATACATAAGAATACAGTAAAACAAAACATTTTTAATTTTTAAAAAGCAAGACCAATTAAAAAAGATTACTAGGAAGAGAAGGAATTGTAAAAGGGGAAAAGGTTAATATAAGAATTGGATGGATGCAGTATCTTACTCAGTTGTTTGAGTTGGGTTAAAAATTGTTTCCTGACAGCCCAAACAAAAAAAGAGAAATGAACTTTCCTTTGTTCATGAGTAAAGTACATATGAATTCTATAACCACTTCTCTAGTTCCTAAACCTTAAAGAAACTTCTCTATAGGATACTGAATGATTCTTAAATCTTAAAAAAAATTTCTCTAAGGCCGGGCGCGGTGGCTCACGCCTTTAATCCCAGCACTTTGGGAGGCCGAGGCGGGTGGATCACGAGGTCGAGAGATCGAGACCATCCTGGTCAACATGGTGAAACCCCGTCTCTACTAAAAATACTAAAAATTAGCTGGGCATGGTGGCGCGTGCCTGTAATCCCAGCTACTCAGGAGGCTGAGGCAGGAGAATTGCTTGAACCCAGGAGGCGGAGGTTGCGGTGAGCCGAGATTGCGCCATTGTACTCCAGTCCGGGTAACAAGAGCAAAACTCCGTCTCAAAAAAAAAAAAAAAAAAAAAAAAAAGTTCTCTATAAGATATTGAATAATCTAAGAAATACTGCTTGAGCCCAGGAGTTGCAGACCAGCCTGGGCAACATAGAGAGACACTAACCCCTCCAACCCCAGCCTCTCCACCCCCCACCAATCCCTGCCCACTACCACACCCGGCTAATTTTTTGTATTTTTAGTAGAGATGGGGCTTCACCATGTTGGCCAAGCTGGTCTCGAACTCCTGACCTCTGGTGATCTGCCCGCCTCAGCTTCCCAACGTGCTAGAATTGCAGGCATGAGCCATCATACCCCGCCAGATTTGCTTTCATTTGATTATTGGAAAGGTGAATGTTTGTCACATGACCAATTTGATTTCTAATGTGAATTGGATTTTTCATTTCCATAAGCCATTTTTCTTTGAAGTAGGGGAAAATGTTTTCTTCTTGATTTATGTAAATGGTTTACATTATAAGGAAAACATCCCTTTGTCTCTTATATTTTCCAACTTTTAAAAAAATCATTTTACCATTTACTAGAGGTGGAGTTGTAAAATTGCTTTTTAGGCTATAATTTTTAAATATTCAATTGATCAAAGACCACACTCAGGGGCTCACACCTGTAATCCCAGCACTTTGGGAGGCCAAGGCAGGCAGAATACTTAAGGACAAGAGTTTGAGACCAGCCTGGACAACATGGTGAAACTCCCATCTCTACTAAAAATACAAAAAAAAAAAATTAGAAAATAGCAAATTAGCTGGGTGTGGTAACGCATGCCTGTAATCCCAGCTACTTGGGAGGCAGAGGCACGAGAATCGCTTGAACCTTGGAGGTCGAGGTTGCAGTAAGCCAAAATCATGCCATTGCACTCCAGCCTGGGCGACAGAGTAAGACTATGTCTAAAAAATAAAAATTAAAAACCAACTTATCAATTCATTGAAAAATCCATACTTGTCCAAACATGTAATGTCATATATTAAATTCTTAAAAACACTTGGGTCTATTTCTGGTCTTTATCTAGTTTATTGATCAGTTCAGCAATTCCAGAAGCATAATCATTCCACTTTTTTATCGGAGTTTATATTACGTTTTCCTATCTTATATGGCAAGTCCCTCTTTGTTACTTTTATTTTCTCAGAATTTTCTAGCTATACTTAACTATTTCTCCATAGAACTTTAGAAGACTTTCCAAATTCAAAAAAACCAGAATTTTCATGGAAATTGCATTACATTTATTCATTTTTTACCTAGTTTTTATACAAACTTTGCATAAAATAGATTATTTCATCTGTTCTAACGGTCGTTACCATGTAAGATAGAGATTTATCTTTTCTGTTAAATTTTAACTGACTAGTGCACCAAACTTTCTTAATAATATTAATTTTCAGCTTATTTATTCAAGTTTTAATAATTACATAACCTTATTATATATATTTTGCTTCCTTCTTTGCAATATTTGTTATTATCTTGACTGATAATGACACTTCCAGATTCATGTCTAATAATAGTGTTTATAGCCAACTTCCTTGTCTTACTCCTGACTTAAACAGGAATGCCTTTACTATCTAGCTATTGATTTCAGATCAGTATTTTTATTAGATTAAGAAACATGCTATTTGTATTTTACATGGAGATTTTAACAACATGAATGGCTATTTTATTAAATGAGTTACAGCATGTGTCAGAATTCAACTATACTCCCAGTCTTTGGAGCAGGCGTCCCCAAACTATGGCCCGCGGGCTGCATGCGGCCCCCATTTATCCGGCCCCCCGCCGCACTTCAGGAAGGGGCACCTCATTCATTGGTGGTCAGTGAGAGGAGCACAGTATGTGGTGGCCCTCCAACGGTCTGAGGGACAGTGAACTGGCCCCCTGTGTAAAAAGTTTGGGGACACCTGGGAGGGAAAGAGCTATAAAGCCATGTAAGAATTGTGTGAGGTTCACTAGCTTAATTGTGACTGAAACTTAAACTTTATAGCCCTGTATATTGGCAAGGCAGTTTGAAAAACATCTGTTCAGCTTCCCATAGCAAAATAAAGGTTATGCAAAACTTGATCTATCTCTGCATCTGTCTAGAATTGCAAGACCAAAGCAAGAAAATCATTTTTTTTTTTTTTTTTTTTTTTTTTTTGAGACGGAGTTTCGCTCTTGTTGCCCAGGCTGGAGTGCAATGGCGCGATCTCGGCTCACCTTAACCTCCGCCTCCTGGGTTCAGGCAATTCTCCTGCCTCAGCCTCCTGAGTAGCTGGGATTACAGGCACGTGCCACCATGCCCAGCTAATTTTTAGTATTTTTAGTAGAGACGGGGTTTCACCATGTTGACCAGGATGGTCTCGATCTCTTGACCTCGTGATCCACCCGCCTCGGCCTCCCAAAGTGCTGGGATTACAGGCTTGAGCCACCGCGCCCGGCGAAAATCATTTATTCAGTCATTCTATATGCACGTGCACGCGCTCGTGCACACGCACGCACACACGCACGCGCACATACACACAAACAGAGTATATTTTGAGCTAGACTTGTTATAAGCACTGTGGCTATAGTGATGAGCAAGGTCGATAAAGTTCTCATGGAGCCAGCTTTGTAGTGAAAGAAGTCAGCAAATAAATACGTAAGACAATTTTATAAAAATCTGATACAGAGATTTTTTTTAAAGGGTCACCCAATTGAAAATAAATCGATTATTTTAGATTGGATAGCCAATGGACAATTGTCTAGGATTTCAGCTGAAACTTCAATCGTGTGTTAAGAAACAAAGACAAAAAAGTTGGAGCAGTGTGGGTAAGAAGAGAACTCATAGGACATGTGTTAGTATACACACTATTGACAACTGAATTAATTGTTTTTTGTTTGTTTTTTTGAGATGGAGTCTCACTCTGTTGCCTAGGCTGGAGGGCAGTGGCATGATCTTGGCTCACTGCAACCTCCACCTCCTGGGTTCAAGTGATTTTCCTGCCTCAGCCTCCCAAGTAGCTGGGATTACAGGTGCTTGCCACTATGTCTGGCTAATTTTTGTATTTTTTAGCAGAGACAAGGTTTTACCATGTTGGCCAGGCTGGTCTTGAACTCCTGACCACATGATCCGACAGTCTCAGCTTCCTGAAGTGCTGGGATTACAGATGCGAGCCCACCGCGCCTGGCCTAATTACATGTTTATAAATATACAAGCATTTCATTGGAACTTGGAAGAATAAAAATCCTGAAAGTTTCTAGCAAGCATGTAATACAAAATGAAAATTAATTTAAGATGTGTAGAGGGCCACTGATACTTTGTTTCATATTCTTTATTTCCCATTAACACTTTAATCTCCTGACAATAAAATCTCAAATTCTTTAACC